ATAAAAGAAATATATCGGCACTGTATGCAAAGATGGACGTAAAAATGACAATTATCGCATTTTATTGGTAAAAAGAGATAAATGTGGCAACTTTATCGTCTATGACTCCATTCATTAAACGAGAACCGAGAACGTATGTAATCCGCGGATGCTGGGACTCTGGGTTATAAACGTCAGACTACAGAAAGCAGCAGGCAGCATACATTGAGAAGAAATACAAAAATGTGGCATTTATGTCATGGTCAACACTGCAACACAGGACATTGCTAGTATTTGTGACTTCGTATTTAGCATAGGATCCCCAATGCATGCCTCTATAACATAACCTTTATATTCCTGCCTGATTTTGTACCATTTAACACAACTTGAAAACACTTAAACATAACCTCAAACCATAAGCTTTGACACGAACCTTAGAGGCCAATTTTTCATCCTAATGACCCGTTTCAATGTCTTCCGTCGTAAACAAAACAAACGCATGTAACTTAAGTCGGTAGGTACCTTTCACAACAAGCAGGTATGGCTAAATATGATAGCGTCACAATATGCATCAGTAGAGGGCATGAACTAATGGAATTTCTCCCGCTTTTGTGCATTTCTTTAACGTATTAGCCACACAAATATGGACTAAATCAAGAAAACGACTAACAGCGGTTGCTGAGGTGCTGTTCTTGGGATGGAGGGAGCTGAAAAGTTACCCTGCTAGTTTTCACGTCATTATATAACGATAATTAGTTTCTGTACCCAAATAATAACAAAATTAATCAATGTGCTTTCTGACCATAAATGTCAGCTGTTGTGTTAAAGACCACTATTCGGTGAGAGCGTGATTTCATTTATGGTATATTAGCTAACAATATTATAGGCTAGTGATTCAAACGGGTCGCTTATAGAGCACTTATAATGAGCTTAAGACTAGGCCTTTCAGCATGAATCTACAATTTATCCTGTCTTATCCAAGCCCGCATTCAGTCGGCCAGACGCTAGAAAATTCATGCGAAATATGTGGCTCAGGTAAGATTGACGTGCATTCACCTCAAACTAAAAGAATTGCAGCACTTTATGTCTACATTTACCTTCGTAGGTTCCACTCCGTATCTGTTGTTGAAATAGACACACACTTATTCTAAAATGAAGCGCTTACCTGTCAAGTTATCATAAAAGAAGAGGGTCGCTCCACTGAGAACGGCTTGCTGACCCGGCTCCTCAGTGGCAATCAACTTCTTAAAAATGTTGATACTCTTCTTTGGGTTGCTAGTGACCTTGCGCGACAGTATTCCGGTACACTTGACGTCATTGCGTGCACCGCTGTGACCGGTGCTATTGGTGTCAACGTCCAGACTGGACTGCCTAGACATATTGGCTGGCGAGGAAATGCTGGAAGCAGCGATGATTGGAACCCTTGCGTTTGCGCTCTGATTCGAGACTGACGGCGTAGGAGGTGCCACACCAGGCGTATTTGTTTGTCTCGTTTGTGCCTCATCGGCAGACTGTGTAGGCAGCATAAGGCAAGAAAAGTGAAGTTGTTTTCATTGAATGCTCACAGTCATAGAGAATATGTTGCTGCACTAATCATTTATAAAAACCGGGTTTGAATGCAGAGCGAATAACACAACGATGCTTAGAGAGTGCTCTGCCTATTCAGCGGCCGGACACTACTATGCTGATGGGTAAGAAAGTCGGTGAGATTTATTATAGAGGCCCCAAAAATCTAGTCGACTTATAATAAAAAACTACTTTTAAATCTTCGGTAGCCTGACTTTAAATTTGTTTGTTAAATTCCACCAATAGGAGGACGAATTTCCATTTTCGTTAAATTCCGCTTACATAAGGTCAAATTTCCCTTGATTAGCACTCGTATTCTGCGCAACAGAAGTATAGTTTTATTGAACTTTATTCTATTTAACATATTAAAGCAAACATAAACTTATTTAATTAAATATTTTTGATCAATTCCGTCACACTTACATATTAATTTACGCTCACTAACCAAAAATTAAATGTTCGACGACAAAATACTTTAGGCATTTCGGCAGAGGGGATGGATATCTAGAGGGGCTCTACAAATCAATTTTGCCAAAAAAGTTATTTAAATGTGAATAGGGAGTATATACAGGGTGTCCCAAAAATGGTCACACATTCTAAGTAATTGTAAACTTGGCATTTATCATAATTGTATCATTTCGAAAATGTAAAAATAGTTACAAGTATCATTTTGTTGTTGCAAAAATTCCCATTAGAGAATTCAGAAGAATGTTTGGCGAGCATATGTAGCTCTCGATAAATCCTCCTCGCAGCATTACATATACTTCTAACTTTTTTGTTACTTTTTTTACCCCCTCCCTATATAAATATAATGGCCCGAGGAGAATTTATCGAAGGCTAAGTATGCTCGCCAGATATCATTTTGTAGTTTTTTCAGTACATGTTCTCAAAGTGACGTCCATTTTGATCCAGACATTGTTCTAAATACCACTCGCAGTCTAGAACATCGTCGTTAAGAGCATTTACTGATCTCGGGCTATAACTTTTCCAATGATATCGTTGCATAATGTGAGACATGCAGTGAAAAGTCAATAAAATGGTACTTGTAAATATTTTTACATCTTTGAAATAATAAAATCATTAATAAACACGAAGTTTACAATTATTTAAAATGTGTATACATTTTTTTCGGGACACCCTGTATGTATTATCGAGCCGTGAATATTTTTTCGAGTAGAATAAAAGCAACCACAAATCCTTGATGATAGAATGCTTAAGCGCCAGAATGAAAGACATTACGAGTGAGAAATGGGTTAAACATGTCTATTACCCTATCCCCTGGTTTCACTGAAGAGAGCCATTTCTGCTGAAAATTGTGGATAATTACCCTCCAAATGAAAGCCTACTTCTCTCTCATGTCCCGTTTCCATTTAAAGCACAAAGTTATACTTCGAATGATTCTATTCTGGGAAGTAAATCTGTGATCCGTAACTGAGCCAGGGCTGGATAATAAAAAAAACTATTTCGAGTCTCTAATAGCAAGGCCCTCCTGTTTGATACTTTAAGTATCCTTTTAGAAGTGTGTTGACGTCACTACCGCAGCGCTAAAGAGTAAACAGAATTTTGTAACTGCACTGTGGGGGATTTTATCTGTCCTCCTTCTACAAATAATAAGATTAGGTGAGCTTATATTGAGCCAGCCAACAGTGCCCATCGCAGGATATTTTTGTAAACTTGTTGATGTTGTACCGAGCAGAAGTTAGAAAATGCTCAATTGAGAAAGAATTAAAACTTTCAAAGGGATATTTGATGTGCTCATATGGGGAATCAAATGTCACTTTGTGCAGCGCCTTGAAAACACAATTTGCTGGCAACTGTGGTTAAAATCTCGATGCCAATGTTGCCTCATTTCCAGTTTTCTATCCATACAGAATAGGCTAGCTTGAAAAGCCCCACTCGAGCATAGTTTGATACACTATCAGTAATTGAGAAATGTGAGTATGCAGTCATCTGAAGCGTGTATTTTAAAAATAAGCAGAGCTGATAGGCGCTATGGTTTGGAATTCCTAGTGAAACTCACTTTAAATCAAGAATTTTCAAGTACAACCGATTCCAGCCGATAGCCTGAACGGCAAACGCCAAATACGACGTGTTATAAAAGCGCATATAGGGTAAGTGAGCTAAGGAACTGTTTGCAAGAACGTCCATTCTGCCCACTAAAATAGAAAGCGTGATACCTAAAAGTACAATACGGCCTAAAACCTTGTTTGAAACCTTGCTACTTAGCAAAACCTTCCATAATACCAGAAAATGGAGCAGAGAAAAACGTAAATTTGGATATTTATGCAGCCTGATTGCTAATCAACATTTTTTTCAACAGAACAGAAAATTTCAAACAGGAATATATAAACATAATCACGTTGATTCAACATCAATTATCTGTTGTTTAAATAGAGCAATGGTCCACTGCAAACGGGAACACAATTGTCACTTGTGGGCGTTGAATTTTGCGAAAACTAGTCTGCAAACGCAGCCTTCAACAAAATTAACTGGGGTAGGCTAAAAGACTGCATAT